CCCCTATTGTCTTCACTATGGGTACATCTGCTCTCAATTCGAAATAGAATTGAGATATGTAATTAACCTTTGCAAGAGTTGCATATAAGAGAAAAAGTAGCAATCCAAACTCCAAACCCTATGGTTGATGTTGATCTTAACTTCTTCTCTTCCCTTGATCTTAAGCTAGATCAAGTCACCCAAGACTTCCAATTGATCATTCGGTTACCGCTACTCCATTGACAGAAACTCCGTTCTTTAAAAATTTCAGTCGGTTGAATCCAAATTGCGAAATCTTGTCCCAAGTCTTTAAATTGATCCTCCGGTTACCGCTATTCCAATGACGGAAACTCCGTTCTTTAAGGATTTCACTCGAATGAATCCAAATTGCGAAATCTTGTCCCAAATCTTTAAATTGATCTTTCGGTTACCGTTACTCCTTTGACAGAACCCCATTCTTTTAAGCCTTCACTCGGTTGAATCCAAGTTGCAAAAACTTGTGTAAAAACTCTCAAATTAAACCTTAATCTTGGAGGAAAAATCCTAAAAGTTTTATCAATGAAACCCCCATAGAAAACTCAACCCAATTTGATTAAAACAACCTAAATTCGACCTTATCAATCTAATATTGAGAACACTCAACAAAAATAGTTATGTGTAGTTGTTGAATGTATGCAATGAAAGGTTGAAGATGATGAGAAAATTCTAAGTCTGTTTTTAGTTTCAATTTTTGAGAAAAGATACATGAATGCATATTTATATGTATGTGTGTGTGTAAAGGAATAACAAATAAAACATACTTTTAGTGAAAAATTACAAGTTTTGTAAAATGAACTGAATGTATTGACTTCAAATTTGAATGAGTCAATACATAATGTGAAGGAGTCAATACATAGCCATAAGAAGTCGATACATTAAGGATATGGAATATTTGTTTGAAAAACTCTTCAGAAGGAGTCGAATCCAAACACGGGGGAGTCGACTCATCAGCCTTATGTATCAACCCATACCACCAATGTATCGATACATTTAGAGCAGCAGTATTTTGCTTAAAATGCTTTTAGTTGGAGTCGACTCTAAACACGAATGATTCGACTCATTCACTTTGTATATCGACTCCTACCCCTTTATAACGATACCTTTAAGTCAGAATTATTTTCTTTCAAAACTCATTCAATATGTATTGATACATAGCTATAATATATTGACTCATTCACCTGTTTTCATGAAAATTCATAGTTTTTACTTGTAATGGATAATCTAATCTGTTTTTAAATGTCTTACTATGATGGTGCACATTTAGACATAGATAATAAAATCCAATATACACAAAATACTAAGTGACCTGGTTTTGACATCATTCAAAACATATTTAAGAGAATAGTGCACTCACAAACCAAACAATCAAGGAAACTACAAAATAAATCGATTTTAGCTACCCAAAAGACCAAAAAAGTCGCCAACCAAAAAATTCGCCAACTCAAAAAAGAAAAACCAAACCAACTAGCTACAAAAACTAAAACAAGAACCGAAAAAAGAACTAGCCAAAGCATAATTATTCTTGACAAACAAAGACAAGCAAGAATTTAATGACTTTAGAATTCCACCAAAACAAGAAACCTTCAAAACTATAAATTACCTAAAACACTAATCACTGAATCTCTGAATTTCCCTTAAAAATAGACCAAAGAAACTTCAAATTTTTACACCTACACCTATTCTAACAAGCACGAGACAACCTTTATAATCAACAAAAAATCGGAGGAATTCTTGTTGAAAATTAACTCTCATTCCCCCTAAGGTTAGACAACTAATTCATTTGAAGTAGGTTGATTACTTTCTTGTCGTATAGAACTTTTTTCTTATCATCTTTATCCCATGAACTCTTAATCTTTGATGTCCTAACACCATTGTTAACACTAGTAGGAACAAATGGGCAATTTTGTACAACATCCCATATTTCTTCTCCTTGTGCTTCTAAATGTGTCTTTGTTAGAATTTTTCAGAAATCAAAGTATTCACCGCAAAATAATGGATGCTTATTATTGCTGCCACTGTCTTTGAAAACTGGATATGCGGAAGCCATTCTGGATCTTTAAGAACAAGTTACCTATAATCTGCTCTAAAACTAAATCACTTAGACACATTTCCTTATGATTTTACAAAGTAGAAAAAGAAATCAATCCTCTCTTTTTCACTCTCTTGTTTTCAACAATTCTGGCCAACAAGATGTTAACACAAGTATATGTTTTTTTTTATATAATGAGAATTTGTATCAAATTTAAAGGATGATATTAAATCCTAACTTGTACGATTTCTTCTCTTTCAATCATTATAATATTTCACAAAAATATTTTTAAGTTCTCAAGAATCTTTATTTTATTTATGAAAGTAATGAACGAGTTCTTGATGCTTGAAAATTATTTATGATGCAGTGAAATATAATGAGATCTTTAGGAAGAGATTTTGAAAGAGGTGAATTTTTCAAATAAAAATACTTCTCTATATTTTCATTCACACCTCTTTGAATTAAGAAAAACCTTTTGATGATTCATGATAAGGTGTGAAATTGATATGAACAGATGTAATGGAAAAAGATGTAATTAATGAAAATATTTTTCTGAGTTTTTATGCTGAGAATCGATTGTAGGGTATATGCAATCGATTACACCCTTTGCAACATTTAAAAATTTTGAAATTTATAACAATGTCAATCAATTGTAAATACCGTTCAATCGATTGAAGTAAAAATTTCCAAAAATAAACAATATCAATCAATTGACACTTTAAACAATGATTTTTTAAGTTTTGAAATTTTATAAAAGTTTCTAAGTAAAAAAGTGACATACACAAGATTCAAATCCATGATCATTGAGTAACTTAAGATATGTCTTTCAACCATTAGAGCACAATTATCATTCATTGAAAATATGTACAAATTCTTTTTCTAATTCTAAGTTAAAAGGTTTAATGATATGATGAATATGCATGGATTAATTTTAATGATATGACGTTTTTTTTTATCAATTTTGAATCTTCCAACATTGCTCACTCTTTTTTCATATCAAAGACAATTATCCTCTCTTTTAATTCTTCAAATTTTTACCAAGTTGAAAATGCCATGCATTTTAACTTGTCTTTGATAAATTTGAGTTTTTCTATATGAACAAAACCTTCCAACTAGTGATAATTTCCCTTTACTAATTCCATGAACTCCTTACAGAATTATGATATATTGGGAGTTTGACCAAAGTTTTAGCATTGAAAGCCTCAATTAATATCGTCAGTTTTTAACATAATAACATAATGATAATAAAAATCATGATTGATTATTGTTAGGTAAAAGTTAAAAAAATCACACTTATTCATAAAAGATCCATGAAATATGAAATTTAAAGAGAGAGAGAAAATATCGAAATTTAAAAAAATTATAAAAAAAAAAATCAAAGTCGACAAAAACCTAATAAAAAAACTCACTAACTATTATGTGTGTCTATCCTTCTCAAAAATATCACTATTTTTGTCGAATAGTTTAATTACCCAACATTTTTTTTTATAAAATGAATGAGTGAGACGTAGCCATTGCATAATTGAAATAAAATATTTTTACACAATTTTTAATTTTTAATTTTTAGTAATTGTTTTATTTTTATTTTATAAATATTAATTATTGAATTGTGTTCATCAAAGATAATATGGAGAAAAATCTAACTCCGCATTAAAATTTTTAAAAAAATTAGTAACTCAAATATCTTCCCCTTACATTTTGTAAATAGTTAAACACATAATATAAAAATATAATAACATCAAATTTTATTTATTTGAATTATCCATCCAATTATCTTGCACACATATAAATGAAAAATAATGTATTCAAAATAAATCTTACATTAAAAAGAAAGAACAAAACTATATTAAAAAAAAACCTTGAAGTTGTTTTAGAAAATGCGAGACAAAATATAAAAATCCAATAAAAAATGTATATTAGAAATAATCACAAGCATTTTTTCTTCTCATGCCAAAAAAATTGGATCTGAAACGTCGTACTTAATTATTTATTATTTTTTCAAAAATTGTCGATAAAGACATAGAGAAAGTGCCACGTGTACCAAAAATCCATTTTGTTAAAAAAAGGTGAAACAACTTTATATTATTAGAAAATACAGAGCAAAATCACAACAAAAAAAAAGGAAGAGAAAAGAGAAGAAGAATAACGAAATCAAGTTCACCATAATCGCCAATCATCTTCACCGTCCTCTGTTGTTGTTCCTAGGTCAGTTTCTGTGATCCATTCTTTCGTTTATGCATCAATTGATGTTGTTTTTTTGAAATTTTTTTGAGACTTTTTATTGGATCTGTTTTTTTTTCTTCTTGTGATCTGAATCTATGTTGTATTAGAGGGTTAAATTGATGAATTGGTGGTAAAATTTGGAAATTCGGAATGTTATTTTGGTGGGTTGTGAACAAAATGTTATCCACTTCATGATTGAGGATTGTTTTCTTGTGGGGGTGGGAATAGCAATATGTGTGAATTTCCCTAATTTTGTAATTGTTAGGGGTTTTGAATTCTTGAAAAAATCTTGTCTTTATGTTTTGTAGGCTGATTTATATGATTTGGTTAATGCTTCCTTAGGTTTCATTTTTTTTTTTTTGAAATTTTGTCAAAATAGTGAATTAGGTCATTTAGAAATGGGTAAAATTTTCTATGTAGATCAAATCTTATTTCTTTATTTATTTTTGTTGGTGATTCTTTTTTTTTTTTTTTTTAATTCGTTCTGATCTTAATTCGACTTTCTTGAGATTCATGTTAGTTTTGACCTATCTTTGGATTCATGAATTAATTTGAGTGTTGATCTGTTTTTTTTTCTTTTTAATTTCTCGTGGTGAAAACGGATTCCGGTGATTTGGTTCTTAAATGTGAATTTGCATAGATTATTCATCTGTATATCTTTATTGTTTTTTTGATGTTTGGCTCTAAATAATTTTTGTGAAAATGCAGGACAAATATAGCAACTAATAGAATGTCTCCATCAATGAAATCAAAATCCAAGTCCAAGGTGGCTAAGGCTGCTAAGGAACAACAAAAGACCTCTCCAAAGACTTCTGGATCTACTAATGAGGAAAGCGGCGTTCTCACTAATGCAGGCGATCCTATCTTGGAAACAGTTCAAACTCTCAAGTCATCTTTGGTTGATTCTTCTGCCGTAGCTAATGACAACAACCAATTCTCAAAAGTAAACGATGCAGATGATCATTCTAGTAGTCCTCAAGGAACGGTGTCTGAGTACGATTCAGTTTCTAATAACGGAAGCTGTTCTGGTGAATCGGAAGACATTAAAGAGAAAGCTGCAAACTCTACTATGCGGTTGGATATTATACCTGGTTGTGATAACGACAGAAGAGATAAGATCCGACTGAAGAACGAGAGAAAGCACCAGAGGCAGAGGGAAAGGAGAGCTCATGAGTTGCATGACCGATGCGGCGCATATCTAATGTCGAGGAAGCTAGATAACCTTGTGCAGAAGTTAGTGGCGATGGGTTTCTCTTCGGAGCGGGCAACATTGGCTTTGAAGTTAAATGATGGAAAATTAGAAGAATCAATATCTTGGCTGTTTGAAGGAAGCGAAGCAAAAGATACTACCAACCGTGTAAGTGAAAGTAATTTGAAAATTGACATAAGTGAAGAGCTTGGACAAATTTATAATATGGAAGTGAAATACAATTGTTCAAAGCAAGAAATTGAGAGAGTAGTTGTTGCCTGTGAAGGCGATCTTCAAAAGGCAGAAAATTCGTTAAAGTCTCAGAAGCAGGAATCTCCTATGAACCAGTCAGAAAATTCTGCTCAAAATGATAATTTGATGAGAACTCATGGATTGCAACCAGCTTTAGCTTCGATACAGCAGAGAGGGAATGAAAGTGATTTCAACTATTACAATGTTGGTGGTGCTGATTCCATGTTCCAAGATCTTGAAAATAGGAATCCACAGTCTTCACACATGAATCATCAAAATGAATTGACACAGAAAAGATGGGGTGTAAATGTTACAGCATCAAATCCTTCTAATGTGTTACCTATGTCTCAATCCATGCAAGCAATGTCGCCATTTGTTAAAATGGAGGCACAGCCAAGTGCCTATAGGAACGAAGGAAGAATGATTCATCAAGGAGTAGGAAGGGAGCCGGTAGTCATGATGCAGCATTCCCAATTTGCCGATGCCAAACAGAATTATCTAAATTCTATGAATTCCATGTCTTCAGGAACATCTGGTTGGTATGTAAATGGTGCTCCGGCGTACGAAAATACAAGGTCGAACGGGAATTTACTACTACAGAATCATGGCATGGGAACTGTCGGTGCAGATCGCTTGCAGCAACTATGTCAAGCTCCTTATAAAGAGTATTCCCATGTATTGGGACCGTTAGACTCCTCTATCTCATCAGGTGGAATGGGAGGTTTTTATAAACCAATGGTTGCATCATCACCTTCACCCACAATGCCTTCCCACTCTCAACATAACGGTTCGTGGAACACCGCCGCATCTTCACCTGCACTTACAGTTCCACCTTCCCTTGGATTATTCTGTGGTCATCAGAATCCATCAGCCAGAGCATTCAACTCACATTCACACGTGGATTGGAATACCGGGGGCTTGGTGCAAGAGTTCGACTACAACAATATAGATTGGAGTTTGGATTGCCCATCATCATCCCGATCAGGTGACGTTTGGCTAGGACTCTCATCGCTATTGAGAAACAACACCACTGGCAATAGGATGCCCAGTTCTTACATGGCTGGATCGCGAAATGTTGGCACGGCCAGGGAAACTTCGTCGTCTGCTGGCTTGCGAGATTGGACCTCACCTTTTGCTGGAAAGGACATATTCAGTGTTCCAAGGAAATTTGTTACTTTTCCTCCTATGTAGTTATGTGAAAATAAGATGTTCTTGATATGGTTGTTTCTGGTTTTTCCAGTAAAATTCATCTTCTGATTTGTGGTTTATAATTGTTTTTTTCCCTATTACTCGTCTTACTTTTCTTATCTTCTTCACTAGCGCATGTGTTTTAATAGAAGTGCTTTTTCTAATACTGATTGTGCATGATGCACGTGAGATGTCTTGAACTGACTCAACTGCATTTTAACCAGCTAACAAACAAAATGTTTTAAGCATGAAACTTACAACTTACAAGCTCAAGTCCATGAAAGATGACTCCAAAAATTACCAAAGCCAGCTCTTGATCTAGAACAAACTCTACCACAAATTCAATAATGTTGACTCTTATATGTCAAATATTGATTACACATACACACATAATAACTGACTACTTAGAATCCAAAAATTTACACCATCAAATTCTACAAAGTTCTTTTATTCAAAAGCTCACATGCCGACCAAACCAAATTGGTTGTTTATTAAGGAGTGTGTTAAACATAGAGACCTCTAATCTTCACAGTTAAAGGTGTTCATATCAGGCAATGTAGTTTTTGATTCCTCTTGCTTTACAACCTGAAGGGTTCTAGTGCAGAAGTACCATCTAACCCTTTCCCATTGTGGTGTGAAACCAAGTCCTTCACTGGTGTTTCCTTGTAAACTGGAGGATTATCTGGTGTCAGCAACTCTCTTATAGGTCCATATATTCTTGAATTCTCAGGAGGGAGATGTTGCCTGAAAAAGCATGCTGCCGAAACTCTTGGTCCAATTTTTTGTGCCAGAACTCTATGTTTAACGCTCACAAACTTATCGTTTGTGATTAGCTGTAAAAACCAAATTGTTTAGACATTGAAGGAAAACTCGGAGAAGCTTTTTATCTTTCAAAGTAAATAGATTACATTCTACCTGCATCATGTTGCCGAGGTTAACGACCAAGGCACCAGGAACCGGTGAGACATCAACCCACTGATTTTGGTGGAAAACTTGGAGGCCACCAAGCTGATCTTGTAAGAGAACAGTGATGAAGCTACTGTCATAATGCGCACTGGCACCCAAAGTCAGTTCTGGCTCAGGACAAGGTGGAGAATAATGGGAAAGTAGGAAAAGTCCTTCTGCACAATCTATGTCCTTGAGGTAACTGGAATTAAGGCCTAATGCTTCAGAAATCAATTCAAACAGAATTATCGCTAATTTCTTAACATACTCACAGTACTCAATTGTTATATCTCTGCAAACTGTAGGAAGTTTCTGAGGATCAAGAGAGTGAGGGGCCATAACACAAGAAAGAGTATCTCTCCATTTAAGAGCTGGAGTAACATAGAGATCAAAATTGGTATTATAATATACCCTTTTGGTAACATCACGAGAATAAAACTCTTTCTTGATTTCAGTGTCTTGTTCATGAAATCTAAGCACCCCATCAAGCATATCATCCAAAACAGTGGTTGGAATTCCATGGTTGACCATTTGAAAGAATCCCCAATTCTCACATGCATACTTTACTTTCTCAACTATCTCAAAACGTGAACTTGTTGGATTTGTAAATAGAGGTCCAAAATCAATGAGTGGAATACTGAGATTGTTGGAAGTGGTTTCTTCATGACTCTTATCATGAATGAATATTTTAGGAACCTTGGATATACCAGCATCTACAAGTCCCTTTACGCCTGTTTTTGATCCATCAAGAGCCTTCAAATCTTTGTGTCTATCATAACCATGTTCATGGTCTTCTTTGATTACTTCTAGATTTGTGTTCACCATGTTTTTGTTTCTTCACTTGTTCTTTAACACAACAACTTAACAGATAAGATATTTGTCTCTGCCCTTCGCCTGGGAAAATCAATTAATTCTCCATAGACAAACAAAAAAGAAAAAAACTAATTGGCTGAAACTTCGTTAGATCATGTGTGGTTTTCATTTTAGCTTCATCTGTAAGCAATGTAAGCAATTAACCTTCTGGACCTATGAAGCAGACATCTCTAGGTGTAGACGTGTCTCGGTATCCGACATTTACATGACACGTGTACGACACTTGTCAAAAAAGTTAGATAATTGTCGACAAAAAGTCAAATAAGTGTCGCCAAAAAAATCATTTTTTTTATATGAATTGACACTTGTTGAATTGGTGTCCGATATTCGTATAACATTCATACAACACATGTGACATAATTTAAATAGAAATTGTTTTTCTTTTTACTTCTCACGCCTTATACATTTTTTTTTCCAAATCTCATACATTTTTAAAAGAGTTAAACATGTTTTTGAAGACCTTAAAATATTAATTTTGATTAGAATATTTTTATTCTCTTAATAATAAAGGAATAAATAAAATTTAAATATTATTATATACATAACGGTTACGGTGTCCTATATTTTTATATTATTAATATCGGAATGTTCATGTCTGTGTTACGGTCTTATATTTTTTTTATATTATTAATATCAGAATTTTTTATATTATTAATATCGGAATGTCTGTGTCTGTGTCGGAATCTGAGCTTTGTATTTGTAGAATATTTTAAATCCTTCCTCACTAAATATGCTATGCATATGGCACCTACAACCTTTGACTACCTTCAACCATTACACTTGATGCGTTCCTACTACTTGATGCATGTTGGATCGTGTCACTTGAAGCACATACACACACACAATTATTACAATAACACATAGTGTTGAGTGATTAGTTTTGATGAAGAATTATTGTTCCATTTTAAGAGAAAATATTGCTTTTAGTCATCATTATTATAAGATGATTTGTTGTACCCTTTTTTTTATATAGTGAAACTTCTTTCATAAGTGCCTGTGGTGTGGTTTTTTACCTGTCACATTGAAGAAGTTTTTTTATGTAAATTTTGTGTGTTCATTTTCTTATTATTCTACTTATTTCTCTTTAATTTTTAATTGTCTCGATCCTGTGCTTCTGCATTGCGCCGATATCCATACAAATGATATCAAAGTATTCAGTTAAGACTTTTAAAATGTCTACTAAATTTTACATCGAGAAGTTTGATGACAAGATTAACTTTTTTATTTGCTGAGTCTAAATGAGGGTTGTTCTTCCTCAAAATATAACACCTTAAAATCTGATAGTAATTTATAAAACATTGTGAAAAATATTAGGATAAAATAAAGGTGTCACATTGATAGAACATTCAACTTTTATTTCAAAAGTGAAATTTAAATTCAAATTATAAAGCATAGTAATTCAATTTAAAACAAATCATAAGTCATAGCAAAATATTCCCAACTTAATGTGACAATATTAGAGCAAAATTCGGAATATACTACCCTTCACAAGCTAAAGAGGCCACTATGCCATCCTCCACAAAACAAAAACTATCACTCTTTAGTCTCAATCTGAAAATTATTCACATAAAGTACATAGATAGAAACATGAAAACAAGAAAGGGTGAGAATACATTCCGTAAATCAAGTGGTGTAAAAATAGCAAAGATAATATACATCATTTATAGCAAACACAAATATACAATTCACAACATAGGAAAAATTATTTATGCAATGCATATTTCCTCTACTCTCATGCATGTGTGATAAGGGACAAATTGTGTATAAAATCAATAGTATTTTATGGCTATTTTCACTTGGTTTCATTGGAATTTCTTAGCAAAAACCTTAACTTTAGTGTAAATAATTGGTTTTTTTAGTTTTATCGAGTAAATATCCTATAGTTGATCATATTCATGTCATTTTGTAGGTTTCCTTGCATAGTTGAAGCATTGGGCACTTAAAAGGCAAAAACAAAGCTTCAAGATGAATTTTTGGATGAAAATCTGTGAGGGCAAGGTTCCTTAAGGCTTTGTTTTAATGATGCCAAAACTAGTAATATCTCGTATTTGTGTACTTTAGACGGTATCATCGCGTCTTAGCTTGCATTCATCCTTTAATATGCATATAATAATTCACATACGTGTGTCTATGCATCTAGGATCATCTCATGTATGAAAATTACGCATTGGATCATTTTAGATACCTTAGGTCAACCCATACATGGCTTTAGGTCATCTCAAAAACTTATAAAAATGTGTTCTTAGCATTCTGGCACCCTTGCGTCGACTCACAGAAGAATGGAGGTCGACGGATACTGAATGAATAACAATTTATTGCTCACAGGCTCCCTTGTGTCGACTCACAGATGAGTGGAGGTCGACGCATATTGTTGGATGAACAATTGTCTGCTCTCGGGTGCCCTTGCGTCGACACATGGTTTGGTTCAGGTCAATGCATGACTTGAATTTTTGCGCATATTTGTTTTCTGGAGTGTTCAGGTCGACTCATAGAGTGCTTAGGTCAACCTCTCACTCATTTTAGCATATTTTTCTGTTTCTCTGTGTTTCAAAAAAGCTGTTAATTTTGTTATGTGCATCATCTTTTGTAGGAACTAACAAGAAAAGTGAAAATATACATTGAATTTGCTCATCATCTTCATTCTCACACTTGCATTCTTCAACAACTACACATAATCATTTTTGTTGATCTTTGCATTGTCGAGGTAATAACGTCTAAATAGGATTTGTATATCGTGGTTTGAGTTGCAAATTCAGTGGATTTTTCTTGAATAAAACCTTTGAAGTTTTGTCCTCCAAGATCTTGAGGATTTGAGGGTTTTTGCACAAATCTTTACATCATAGATTCAACCGAGTGAAAGGATTGAAGAACGGTGGGTTCGTTCAAGTAAGTAGCGGTAACCAGAAGATTGTGTCGAAAGCTTTGGGGTCGAACGTCTTGTGATCAAAATTATCCGAGTGAAATATATGAAGATTCAAGTGAGTAGTGGTAACTGGATGGTTAATCGAAGAGTTTGATGTTCTTGATTCAGCTAGAATCAAGGGGAGAGAAGTGTGGTGGCTATAACTTCTCTTGTACAAAACTTTGCAACTTGATATTATACATATCTCAATTCTAGTTTTAGAATTGGGGGTAGATGCACTCGAAGCGAGGACGAAAAAGGGGACTGCCTAAACAAATTGGGTGTCGTTCTCTCTTTCTCTATCTCTTTACTTTGTGTTGTTAAAGTTTGTGTGATATCAATTGTTCGATAAATTTCTGTTGTAGTGTAGTGCTGAAAAACTGTTTTGGAAACTCATTGCAATCACTTTGATTGAAATTGCTGAAAATTCTACACTATCATTTCATAGGAAATTGAATTTGGGGTGTTGAGCACACTAAGTGTTCGACATATTGATTGCACACAAACTGTTCGTGAAATTGTCAATTTAATTTTACCTTAATATTTCATTAGAAATTGGTTGATTCAAAGTGGTATTAATTTGGATAATTGATTGTGAAAATTGCTGATTCGTTCATCCCATCGATTTCATTCCATATTGGTTTCGCATATCCTATCTTACCAATAACGATTCATTTAGGCGATTAAAAAACCACGACAGCTTCTGCACAATTTTGAAACAACTTTTAAGCGCCGATTTTTGTTAAAAATTAGCGATCTATTCAACTCCCTTCTAGATCATTGCCATCGTCTAACATGTGGTATCACAAGCACCGATTCACCTAGTGCTTCACATATAGCTTACAGAAAATGGCTAACGAACCAAAAGGGGCGTACAATAGAGCACTGATTTTTACGAATGAAAACTAGAGTTATTGGAAAGATTATATACGGGCGCATACCAATTCTGTTGATAGAAAGGTATGGAACATTACTCAAAATGGTCCTATTGAAATTACTATGACCAATGCAGATAATGTTGTTGTGCATAAGCTGGAAGCACAATGAAACGAGGAGGATGAGAAAAAGTATAGTTACGATTAGAAAGCTACAAATATTCTCATATCATCTTTGGAAATTGATGAATATTATAGAGTTTCTCACAGTACTACTTGTAAGTGAAAAATGCACCTAAGAAAGGGGGGGGGGGGGGGGGGGGAGTGAATTAGGTACTTAAAAAATTTCCGGTCTTGTTGTAGGAATCTTATTTTACTTTCCTAAAGACTTTCTAAGTGAGAAATGCGGTAAATGCAGAAAGTAAAAGAGACACGACGATATATCCTGGTTCCCCTTACAGCCTGAGAGTACTCTAGCCCCCTTTCAACACGAAAGAGATTTTTCAATATTGTTCGGTCCTAAGACAATACTTTCTACCTAGTCTTTCTATACAGACACAAATCAATCAAACCACCAAGAGCACACTCTTGAATTTTTCAACTAAGTCCAATGAGAGCAATTCTCTCAATGTGGACCTCTTGCTTCCAACAATCCTGGACAGCAAGGTAACAACCTTACAAACTTAATTCCAATAATCCTAGAATGCTAAGTATGTAATCAAAAGAATAAATGAATAAATTTGTTTGAGTAGATTTGAAATTGTCTTCAATATATCAATCTTCCGATTGATATTTCTCTTGATATTGCACCTCTTATATATCTTAAAAAGTGTTCAAATGAGTAAGAATGAAACTATAATGAATTTCTGAAAATAGAAGTATGCAAGTTTCACTCTTTTAAAAATTCAGAATTTTGACACTTGTAGAAAAATGAAAAAAAAATGAGAGATGAAAAAAATTTGAATTTTTTTTGCAAGAAGGTGAGATTCAAAATCTGAGTTTAGAGGTATATATATGCCTCTTAACACCTTTTCAGAAGAGCTATAATGGCCAAAGGATATCATAGTTCAAGAAGAAGAAGAAGAAAACATTTTTCAGCTAAGAGATGCACCTTTTTGGCCTGTAGCGCTAGTGATAATCGATTACCATAAGTGGGCAACCGACTACCAGCCTCA